GGCTCGCCCATCCTGGCCCGCGCGCTTGCCGACGCGAGAAGATCGCGCGGGAGGGCAAATCTTGGGCAAAATGCCCTGTTTGCCAATCCTTCACGGCGACTTCACGTCGGAACGAGTCGGATCGACGACTCCCCGCCTGCACCAGCGTGTGCGCCTTGCAATTCTATACAGAATCGACACGTGGTACGTCTTCTCAATCGCTCGTGGAGAGGAGCTACGGCCATTCCTAAGTAGTGTTCAACGACGTTGAACAATGTTCAACGTCGTTGAACACGGTCCAGTAACCGCGAGGACGAGGGGCAGCACGAGACGGAGCCCTCGTCGTAAAATTCTTTTTCACACAACACTGGGCACGGGACTGGCGCGCACTGGCACTAATAAATAGAGCAGAAAGAAAGAAAAGAAACAAAACGGACAACCTAAATAGAGCAGAAGTGCGCCCCCCTCCCTGGAAGCGATGTGCGCCTGCTCGCCTCCTTGTTTTTTGTATGGCGGCGCGGCGAAAATTCTTTTTCGAGGACACCGCGTCGCTGCAGCCTCCTCTCAGCTCTTTTTGCTCACACCACCACTCCTCTCACCATGAGTGCCGGCATGCACAACTCCGATGGCGTCAACATCGACCTGTACATCCCGCGCAAGTGCACCGCCACCAACAGGCTCATCAGCGCCAAGGACAAGGCGTCCGTGCAGCTCAACATTGGGCACGTGTCGGCCGACGGTGCGGCCTCCCCCTTGCCGGAACGAAGGGAAAGCGAGGGAGGGAAGGGGTGGCCGCCGGTTTTGGTGGTGGGGCGGGGGCAGCGGGCAGCGCGCTCTTCTCCCCTCGGATCGCCGCCGTCTCGCCTGTGCCCGCTGCCACCGCCGCTCCCACTTTGCGCCGCGCCCTCGGCTGGCACGCGTTCACCCCCGGGGAGGAGAGGCTGGCTTCTCCGGTCTGGCAGCGGTGGCGCTGACGACGGGGTGGGGGTGGGGTCTCCCGAAAGCGCCGCGGGCGGGCCGGGGCGAGGCCTATCACCGATGCCGCCCCCAGATTTTAAAGCCCCCCCCCCCCCCCCCACCCCCCCAGGCGTCTACACGGGCGAGTACACGCCGATGGCGCTGTGCGGCTTCATCCGGAGCCAGGGCGAGGCGGATGGCGAGATTGACCGCAAATTCACAAAGGTGATCGCAGAAAACAAGGCCAACGGCATCGACATCTGAGCCTCCCGCCTCGCCAGTCTTTGGGGGGGGCCGCGCCGCGACATGCCGCTGCGTGCCCCATTTATCGCGGGGGGTCGGAGGCGGGAAGTTGTCGATGAAAGGGCGGCCCAGTGGCGAGAGAGGAGCGCTCCTGCTCCCTTTCGCCGCTGAGGACGGGCATCGAACGGCGGCCCCGCCTCAACGGCTCCTCGGGATCACACACGCACGAAAAACTCCTAAAAATAGCTGTGTCATTGATTGTACCGTAAAACGAATACAGGCCCCCTCGGCGGGGGCGGACGTAGTGACCTTACACAAACAGTAAAGAGAAGCGCGGCGGGACGGGCGGGACCGGGAGCGGTCCTCCTAGAGGAGCGCGGCGCCGGGCGCCGGCGGGCGTGGCCGCTATACGCTGCGGGCGCGAGTCGCCTCGCCCCTCGCCCGCTCCTCGGGTGGCGGCGGCGAAGGCTTCTTGCGGGGGCGCTCTGCATGTGCATGTGCATGTACATGTGCTTCCTGGAAATCGTCGTCGGAGAGGGTGATCGGGTCGGTCGACGCGCCGCCGCGGCTGTGCAACGGCTGCTTGCCGCCGCGGCCGCCGCCTCCGCCGCCGCCGCCGCCGCCGCCGCCGCCGCCGCCGCCGCCCGCAGGCTTTGCGGCGCGCGCCTTGCCGCCGCGCGGTCGGCTGCTCGACGAGGCTGCGGCCGGGTCGACGGCCTGCGTGCTGAATACGCCAGCCTCGGGGCGGGAAGACGGCATTGTTGCAGCGTCTCCAGAGCACCGCGTGAATACAAGAGAGGCGGAGACGGTGAATGCGGCCGAATACGATCGAATGCAGTGGAAGGCGTTGCGCTCTCGAGGGCTAGTTGGGAGACAGGAACACGTATTCTGCTTCTGGGGTCGGTGGCCTTCCTCTTCCCCCTGCGCTTGGGGGCGACCTTGGCGGTGGAGATGTCCACTGTCGGGGAGCCGTCCTCGTTGAAGAGGTACGGGTTCGGATAGCGCAGAAACTGCCGATCGGTGAGCGAGCGGATCCACAGCTTCTGCTCAGTCCACAGCCTGCATCATGAATACGCCAACGTCAGGGCGCGGGAGTACGGCCTTGCGCAGAGTCTTCAGAGCACCGCGTGAGCACGAGGGGGATACGAGCACAGCGAATGCGGACCGGAGTGCGGCCGAATGCAGCGGAGTACGTGTCCTCTCGAGCGCTGGCTGGAGTGAGACATGAACACGTATTCCGCCTCTGGCACGGCGAGCCATGGCGCACCCGCGCGCGAGATACCGTTTTTCTTTTTTCTTCTAAGACCGCGTGCGAGTCGTTTTTCGACTTGACCTCGACGAGCGCGCCGCGCAGCGTCCAGTCGTCCTCGATGGCAATCGTCCACTTCTTGGCGGCCAGCGCGTCCACCGCCCACTTGCCATCGGCGAGAGCCGCCCTCGCCTCGCCGGTCTCGCTTCTGGCCCCTTCCTTGCCTTCCGCCCCCTCCCCGCCTTCCGCCCCCTCCCTGCCGGGCATCTCGACCTCGTCTATCTCCTCGCGCAGGATGCCTTGCGAAGCGGAGGAGGCCGCCTCTCCCTCGGCGAGCGCCTCGGCCTGCGCGTGCGCCTCGGCAGCGGCAACTGCGGCGGCATCTGCGGCGGCATCTGCGGCGGCATCTGCGGCGGTGTCGGCGGCGGCATCTGCGGCGGTGTCGGCGGCGGCATCTGCGGCGGTGTCGGCGGCAGCGTCCGCCCCGTCCTTCGCCTTGTTGTCCGCTTTCTTTAT